GACACTGTCAAAAAGAATGTGTTTTTCACCTGACACGTAACTCTGACCACTCTGTGCATCACCATTATAATGACCAAAAAAAGTTTTTAAAAAAAAGTCATGGCTTTAGAATCTGTGGGCCCAAAGGTTCTATGCCTAACTCAATAGATGAATTTTGGTAAATCAGAAAACCTGTAGTGTGGGCTGGTATGTAGCTCAGTAGAAAGCGCTCACCTAGCAAGTTGTAGGTCTTGGGCTCGACCCCCAGTACCAAAACAGTAAAAACAAAACAAAACAAAACAAAAACCTGTGGGGTTGGGAAGGTGGCTCAGTGGTAGAGCGCTTGCCTTGCATGCATGAGGCCCTGGGTTTGATTCCTGAGCACCACATAAGCAGAAAAAAGCCAGAAGTGCTGCTGTGGCTCAAGTGGTAGAGTGCTAGCCTTGAGCTGAAGAGCTGAGGGACAGCGCCCAGGCCCAGAGTTCAAGCCCCACGACCGGCAAAAAAAAAAAAAAAAACTGGTCTCTCTTTTCTCACCTGTGCCATCTATGCAGAGGTCCAGGCAAATGTATTCTTTTTTGTTGATGTTGAGGGGCTCGGGGCCTGAGCACTATCCCTGAGCTTTTTTGCTCAAGGCTAGCTTTCTACCACTAGGAGCCATAGCTGTATTTCCAGTTTTCTAGTGCTTAACTGGAGATAAGTCTCATGGACTTTCTCATGCAGGCTAGCTTTTGAACCACAATCCTCCTATCTCAGCCTTCTCAGGAGCTAGGATTACAGACGTGAGCCACCAGCACCTGGCATAAATGTACTTCTTACTGTGCGCCTCACACTGAGTGGACTGAGCTAGGCATTAACAGCATTTAAGACTTTTGATTGTGGGCTGGGAAGGTGGCTCAGTGGTAGAGAGCTTGCCTTGCATGCTTGAGGCCCTGGGTTCGATTCCTTAGCACCACATAAGCAAAAAGAAAAAAGCCGGAAGTGGCGCTGTGGCTCAAGTGGTAGAGCGCTAACCTTGAGCTGAAGAGCTGAGGGACAGTGCCCAGGCCCAGAGTTCAGGCCCCACGACTGGGACCCCCCCCCCCCAAAAAAAAAAAAGAAGACTTTTGATTGTGAGCCACAGAAAGAAAATGTGTACGTACCCAATAAACATTCTGAAAAGTGCTTTCTTAAACCTCTTGGACAAACGGGTTTTCCTCCATGTCACTGGGCTGCCTGCTCCCCTGGATTTTGGGGAGCAGCATAGGCAACACAGGAGCCAGGCCAGTAACCGCTCCCTGGGATGTCTTCGACAGAGCATCTGTGGCACCAGACATCAGGTGCTATCTTCTCTTTGTCCTATGCTGTTCAAGTGCTAATGGCTCACCCTGCTCACTGTCCATGATATTTCCAGGTCTACCCTAACTCAGGAAGTCTGCATGGAGGGCTGCTGCGGAGATCCATGAGGTACTTCATGTGTACATAAGCATTATGATGTAACTATAACCAATATATTTGCCAAGTATCAAAGACAAAGTCAAGCAGGGCGCCAGTGGTTCACGCCCGGAATCCTAGCTATTCAGGATTCAGACATGAGGTCTGAGGTTCCCAGATCAAAGCCAGCCCCAGCCCAGACAGGAAACTCCGTGAGACTCCTATCTCCAATGAACTACTCAAAAAAGCTGGAAGTGGTGCAGTGGCTCAAGTGGTAGATGGCTTGCCTGTGCAAAAGAAGCTCAAGGACAGCACCAGGCCCAGAGTTCAAGCACCAGGACTGGCAAAAAAAAAAAAAGCCAAAATCCCAGCTGGGAGTTCACACCAGTAATCCTAGCTACTTAGGAAGTGGAAATTTGAAGACTGCCAGGCGGGCAGAACAGACCATGAGACTTTTCTCCAGTAAGCCATCAAAATACTAGAAGTAGAGCTGTGGCTCAAAGTGGTAGAGTGCTAACCTTTAGCAAAAAAGCTCAGGACTGACTGGGAAGTTAACTCAGTGGTAGAGCGCTTGCCTTGCATGCCTGAGGCCCTGGGTTCGATTCCTCAGCACCACATAAGCAAAAAAGAAAAAAGCCGGAAGTGGCGCTGTGGCTCAAGTGGTAGAGCGCTAGCCTTGAGCTGAAGAGCTGAGGGACAGTGCCCAGGCCCAGAGTTCAGGCCCCACAACAGGACCAAAAAAAAAAAAAAAAAAAAACTCAGGACAGTGGCCAGGCCCTAAGTTCAAGCCCCATAACCACACCACCACCACAAAATCCTGAAACCATGGGTTGGGAAGGTGGCTCAGTAGTAGAGTGCTTGCCTTGCATGCATGAGGCCCATGGATTCAATTCCTCAGCACCACATAAAACAGAAAAAGCCAAAGTGACGCTGTGGCTCAAGTGGTAGAGCGCTAGCCTTGAGCTGAAGAGCTGAGGGCATCACCCAGGCCCCGAGTCCAAGCCCCATGACCGACAAAAAAATTTAAAAATGGCACCTGCCATTTGAGCCATACCTCCTCTTTTGTTTTTGTTTTTTGTAAAGCAGGGCTGGGGGTGGGGGAAGAGAAAGATGGTGTTAACTGGAGATTAAAGTATTGTAAAGTATTGTGGAATAACCTGAGATAAAGATTCTCATGGACTTTCCTGTCCAAGAAGGCTTTAAATCAAGATCCTCAGATCTCAGGCCCTGTAATAGCTAGGATTGCAGGAATAAGCCACAGGCATGGTTAAATTTATGATTTAAAAAAAAAAGGGGGGGAAGGAGTAGGAAAAAAAGTTGCACAAATAGCAAAGGATTTTTCCCCTTTACATACATAAATACTTGTTGGAAGTATAAACAATTTTTTCAGGGAAATATGTTTCCAAAATGTAAAAAGTATACATGAATGGCCTGGAAATTCTAAAGAAATAAAATTCACAATACCTATTTTCCAAGAAAGAAAGGAGCAGAAGACTCTGACCATGTAATAATAAAAGAGGAAACATTACAACCTCTGTTAATTAGAATCCTAATGAGCTATATCTAAAACCAAAATGATAGTACAGACTTTCAATAACACAGGAGGATGCTCACAAGGTTATGCTGTTGTCACTTCTCAGTTTTTCGTTTGTTTTGCCAGTCTTGGGGTATAAACTCAGGGCCTGGGCGCTGTCCCTGAGCTTCTTTTGCTCAAGGCTAGCACTCTATACCACTTGATCTACAAGTGCCACATCTGGCTTTTTCTGTTTTGTGGTACTGAGGAATCCAACCTAGAGCTTCAAACATGCTAGGCGAGCACTTTACCACTGAGCCACCTTCCCAGCCCTCTTCTGGTTTTATAAAAATAAATGTTGCATTCATTACACAGCTGGGTACCAGTGGCTCACATCTCTAATTCTAGCTACTAAGGAGACTGAGAATTGAGGATTGTGGTTCAAAGCTAGCCCAAGCAGTAAAGTCAGTGAGACTATCTCAAATACATTACCAAAAAGCCAGAATTGAAGCTATGGCTCAGATGGAAGAGCACTAGCCTTAGGCAAAAAAGAAGCTCAAGCACAATGCCCTGAGTTCAAGCCCCAGGACCAGCACTATATAAATAAATACGAGAGCGTTTACACATTTCAGACAGACACACACCAGAAAGGTAACACAACCAGGCAGCGGCACCGTCCAGGCTTTGATGAAAAAGGGGGGAGGGGCGTCTATCAGCAGCACGCGGCGCTGGCCAGGGCGCCCTTCCTAGGCCGATCCAGACGGGCTCGGGGACCCAGAGAGAACACCCCGGGGGGCTGCAGTGGCGATTCTCCCTCCTCGCCCCCGACCGCTCCCCTGGGGCAGAGTAACGGCTGTTTTTCACTGTTTGCCGTTCTGTACTGGCTTCCAGTTATTCCAACAGAAAGAAGGTGGTCACTGCTCTTGGTAATGGTAATACTGATGCTGCAGAGGGGTCCTGCCTTGACCCCGAAATGAACCACCGCTGCGCGCCCCACAGGCCGAGGGCGCGCTCCGCCCTCCACCGAGACCGCGCGCACCTGCTGTTGCTCAAATGCCATCTCCACCCTAAAACCTGACGGGAGGGTTCCCGAGCGCCACGGCTGGGGGGCACTGAGGGGTCACGAGGGGCAGGAAAGGAGCCGGGTGCGGCCTAGCGGGCGGCCTCTCCACCACCCCAACATCTCCGCGGGGCGGGGGGGGGCCATGACGCGGACACGCGTCCGTCCTGCCCCACGCGCACGCCACCCGCGGGCCTCCCGTCCGCCTCTCACGGACGCGGCTCGGGGAAGCAGACGAGCGGTGCCGAGGGCGGAGAGGCCGACAACAGGTGATCGTCAAAGTGTGAGGCGAGACGGGTGTGACATCCTGCCGCCCTGCGCTGGGGAGACGGGAACGAGGGGGGGGTCGGGCCGCCTGCGGGGCCGGGCGGGCCCCGCACCCGGGGCCGGCGGCGGCCGGGCTCCTCGGGCCGCGTCCGCTTCTCCGCTCTCCGGTCGTCTGTCCTCAGGAAGGGCGCCGACCCCCGGGCCGGGATGCGCCCGGCGCCCCGCTCCCGCCCGGGGCCGCGCACGCGCACGCGCGCCGCCCGTCCTGGCCCCGCGCAGCTGCTGCTTCCCCGCCGCCGCCGCCGCCGCCAACGGCTCCCCGGGACGCACAAAGAGCCGCCGCGGGCCGGCGCGGCGTGGGGAACGCGGGTCCCGGGGGGGGGGGGGTGCGGGCCGCGGGGAGCCACGCGCGTCCCCGCCCCGCCGTCACCTCCGCGGCGGGAGTGGAAATTTCCTCTCCGCGGAGGCGCCGCGCGCGCCGCAGGCCGCCGTACGGAGAGGCCCGCCCGCCGCCGCCGCCGCGCGGCCCCGCGGGGGCCCGGCCCGGCCCCTCCGCCCGCCCGCGCCCGGCCCCTCCGCCCCTCCGCCCGCCCGGCCCCGCCTCGGCCGAGCCCCGGCTCCGGCCACGGCCGGCGCGGCCCCGGTTTCCGGCGCCGCCAGCGGCGGGAAGCCCGCAGCACGTGCGCCCCGCGCGGGCGGCGGGCCGGAGCCGCGCCGGGCCCCCGGGCGGAATGAATGAGGAGGCCGCGCCCGCGCCGCCCGCCTCACCCCAGCTCTTGGCGGTGCGCCCCAGGAACTCCCCGGTGGTCGGGTTGTAGACGAAGACCTTCCACTCGGCCAGGCTCTGGTGGAACGACTTCTTCTCGGTCTTGGTCATGGTGAGGGCGCGGGGCGCGGCGGCCGCGGGCGGGCGAGGCGGCGCGGAGCGTCCCGGACCTAGCGGCGCTGCCCGGCTGAGGCGGCGGAGGGGCGGCGCGGCCGGAGCAGCTCCTCCTTCCGCGACCGCTCGAGCCGACTGCGCCGCGCCGCGCCGAGCGGCCGCTCGGGCCGCGGGAGCCTGACGTCTGCGCCCGCCGCAGCCAATCCACGCGCCGCTCCTCCGCGCCGCGCGCGCGCCCCCGCCCAGGGGCGCCGCGACTGGGCGCGCGCCCGGGCCGCCCGCCGGCTCCGCCCTCGGCCCGCCCCCGGCGCGGCCCCGCCCCCTCCGCTAGCCCCGCCCCCGGGCGCCGCTGCCGCCCGCGCCGGCCGAGGACGTGGGGCGCCGAGGCCGCGGGCAAGTAGGTGGTGTGTCGCGCGCGGGTTCGCCCCACGGGGTTCTCGCGGGGCTGGGGGCGGCGATCGGCTGTCCTGGGGAGGGGGGCGCCCAGGCCCGGGGCAGGTGCGGGGCGGCGTGGGCCGGCGCGCGGCCCCGCTGCTCCCGGCTCTGTGACGGACCCCTGCGGGGCGCAGCCCGCCCGCCCCGCCCCCAGGTCCTGGCCCGCGGACGGAGCCGTGCGGGGAGGGGGGGGCGGGGTGCACACGCTGACCTCCGACCCCGGGGGTCCCGCGGCGCGGGGTGCCCGCAGGTCTCGGGTGCGGTCAGCCTTTTCCTGCGGGAGATGGGGCCGAGAGGAGCGGGAGGGAGCCTCCACCGGGCGGTGTGTGTGCGCGCGTGTCAGTCCTGGGGCTTGAACTCGGGGCCTGGGCGCTGTCCCTCAGCTCTTCAGCTGGAGCCACAGCGCCACTTCCGGCTTTTTCTGTTTCCGTGGTGCTGAGGACTCGAACCCAGGGCCTCAGGCCTGCGAGGCGAGCGCTCTACCCCTGAGCCACCTTCCCGGCCTAATTATTTTTTATAATCTCTAAAAAAAAAAAAAAAAACCCGGACAGTGTCAGGAGAGCTAGAATCCTGGTCGATTACCAGCTTTTCAGTTTGGCTAGAGGTAAAGATAGAATCTGTTTAGAAGGAAATATAAAGCCCATCTGCTTGCGTGTGTGCCCATGCGCCCGTGTGCGATCTCACAGAAGACACACAGATAATCAGCTGGCACCCAGAAAGAAAACATGGAAAGACAACATGATGAAATCGTATTTCAGAGTACTGGCTGCTCTCAAGAGATCTGTAGTTGTTAGTGGCCATTAATGGGACTTTTCTGAGCTCTGGGCCCGGGCGCTGTCCCTCAGCTCTTCAGCTCAAGGCTAGCGCTCTTCTACGACTTGAACCACAGCTCCACTTTCAGCTTTTTCTGTGTATGTGGTGCTGAGGAATCGAACCTAGGGCCTTGTGCATGGGAGGCAAGCGCTCTACCCCTGAGCCACCTTCCCAGCCCCTAATGGGACTTTCATACTTAGCGATTGTTTTGTTTTGTTTTCAAATAATGATTTTAAATACAAATAAAATCCAGTGAACAGTGTGAAAGCCAGTGACTAGTTCTGTAGTCAGACCCAACAAACCAGAGGCCTGGCTCAAGTGACAGAGCACCAGCAGGGAGCAGCTGAGCAGGAGCAAGAGACTCCTAGTTCAGGCCCTGGGATCTGTCTGCACCATCCACACCCACACAGCGAGAACTGTACTCATATTTTACTGCATCAGAAAATCACAGTTAAGGGGCTGGGAAGGTGGCTCAGGGGTAGAGTGCTTGCCTTGCATGCATGAGGCCCTGGGTTTGATTCCTCAGCACCATATAAGCAAAAAAAAAAAAAAAAAATCACAGTTAAGTGTTCCTCTGCACAACCGTCCTCAGTTTATTTTAAAACAATTTTTTTTCTTTGCAGGGGGAGGGGGGATCTTTCTCCTTTCCTTTTGGTCCTGGTCTTGGGGGATGAAGTCAGGATTTGGGTGTTGTCCTTGAGCTTTTATGCTCAAAGCTAGCACTGTACCACTTGAGCCACAGTTCCACTTCCAGCTTTTTTTTTAAGTAGTTAATTGGAGAAAAGAGTCTCACAGACTTTCCTGCCTAGGCTGACTTCAACCCTCGATCCTCTGATCTCAGCCTCCTGAGTAGCTTAGGACTACAGATGTGAGCCACTAACACTGGCCTGAGAATTGGAGGTTAGAGCTGGGAGAAAGCTCAGTAGCCTAGTGGTAGAGCACCTAACCTAGCAAGAGAGTGAAAGTTCCTGAAGACAAGTCGGTGTTACTGTGGCTGGAAAGAGAATGGTGCATTTTTGAAGGGCCAAGGGAAAAAGATGAGCACACCCAACTTCTTGGGAGGGTTGGAGGGAGGGAGATAGCATCTTCATACTAGTTACACCTAAGTAGTTGGATTTACATTCCCATCCACCCCACCCCCACCCCCCAAACCCTCAGAGGAGTTAATCAGACAACTTGATCTCTGCAGCCTGTGGTTTACACAGAATAAAGAAAGGGCAGGAAGTGCTCATATATTTTGGAAGGTTCCCACTGAGTGAGCAGGAAGCTAGGAGGGAGATGGCAGCTGATGAAGGCCTCACCCCAGGCTCCCTGGAGGAACACTGCCTTTGGGAAAACACGTGCAAAAAAAAAAAAAAAAGGAGAAACCCCAAGTTGAAATGTTCTCATCCAGGCCTAGACAGGACCTGTCCTGTTTATACAGGTTCAAGGAGAAACACATGGAGTTTGGACACACCCAAGGTACCGGGAAAAGAGGCCCCACTTGATTTGTCTAAGGATCCGGTATATTTCTTTTGCTTAATGGAAGAAATGTTTTGGAGTCCCCCAGGGACAGTCTGGACCTGGGAAGGTAGTGCAGACTTGAGTCCCTGTTCCGGGATCCTGGTTTGAAGGCAGAAGTAAAGTCGGAAGGTGGGGGAAGGGAAAGGAAAATGCAAGATGAGATGGAAAAATGGAGAAAAACAACAACAGACCTTGTGATCCCACATTAGTAAAAGGGTAAGAAGTAAAATGTTTTTGGGGTTTTTTTTTTTTACTCTTACCATGTTTGTCTACACAGAGTGTGTGTGTGTGTGTGTGCGCGCGCGTGCTGAGGCCTGGTACCATCCCTGAGCTTTTCATCTCAAGGCTGGTGCTCTACCACTTGAGCCAAAGCTTCACTTCCAGCTTTTTGGTGGTTAGTTGGAGATAAGAGTCTCAGATTTCCCTGCCTGGGCTGGCTTTGAGCCGATCCTCAGACCTCAGCCTCCAGAGTGTAAGGTCTGAACAGGGACACCTCCTTCCCTCTTGGGTAAGTTTCCTCCCAGTATCTGTTACCTAGGTAAGGCAGACCTGAAGCAGTCACCTTCCCCTCCGGCTAGGTCACATCCTTGGCCACCTCCTGTCACAAGCCTCCCATCTGACCTTAGGAGGGTCCAAGAGGGAGGTGTCCCTGTTCAGACCTTACGCTGAGCAGCTAGGATGACAGGCGTGAGCCACCAGCGCTGGCTATATAACCATTTCAATGCTGGGACCTGATTCCTAAGCCAAGTGCAAATTGGCCAAGAAGAAATTGAAATCCAAGCTAGCCTTGTGCTAATCCTGCTGGGTGCCCCCACACACACAAGCACCAGTCAGCTTCAGACCTGGGGGGGCAAACTTCTCCCAAACAGGCCCACACCCCACAGCAGGTCCTTCTGTCTTGCTAGGATCTAGGGACAGGGCTGTGCCTTCCATAGAAGATCTTAACGGTGGCCCTTCCTCAGCTGATCTGCCTGTATCTAGAGTTTTCTTTCTGCTTGCAGCAGGATCTTTGGAACTTTCTGCAAAGTGTTCCCTTGCCAAGTTTTTGTAAGAGGGACATGGTTCTGTGATGCATGCCAGGCCATTAAGACTTCTTTGAGCTGGGAGCTGGCGGATCACGCCTGTCATCCTAGCTACTCAGGAGACTGAGGTCTGAGGATCATATTTCAAAGCCAGCCTGGGCAGGAAAATCTGTGAGACTCTTTTTTTTTTTTTTTTTTTTTTTTTTGTCGGTCGTGGGGCTTGAACTCTGGGCCTGGGCGCTGTCCCTCAGCTCTTCAGCTCAAGGCAAGCGCTCTACCACTTGAGCTACAGCGCCACTTCCGGTTTTCTGGTGGTTTATTGGAGATAGGAGTCTCACGGTCTTTCCTGCCCGGGCTGGCTTTGAACTGCGATCCTCAGATCTCAGCCTCCTGAGTAGCTAGGATTACAGGCGTGAGCCACCAGCGCCCGGCTATCTGTGAGACTCTTATCTCCAGTAAATTACAAACAAAAAAGTCGTAAGCCAAGCTGCGACGCAAGGGGTTGAACACCAGCCTTGGGGAACAAAACAAAAAACACAAAAACCTCCAGGACAGCAAGTACCAGGCACTGAGTTCAAGCCCCAGAGCCAGAGAAAAAAAAGAAGAGAGAGACTTCTTTGATGAGCCAGCTTTCTAAATTGAATGTGTTTTGATTTCTGGATTTAACTTGGAGGTTAAAATGGGGGTTATATACACTATACACATAAGGCTTGTTGTTTTCCTGATATTTTGGAGTCAGCTCCTCTTAGACTCAGAAAATAATAAAGGTCTTTTCATGGCAGAATTTGCTGACTTTCCTCCTCTTCCTTCTCCTCCTCCTCCTTTTCATTTTTGTTTCCTTGTGCAACTGCGGCTCATGCTTGCTTGGCTTGCTTGCTCACGCCTCCAGTCTGACTTTTGGCTGGTTACTATGGAGATGAGTCTCATAGACTTTTTCTACCTAGGTTGGTCCAGAATGCCAGTCCTCCAGATCTCAGCCTCCTGAGGTACCTTAGTAATACAAACAAGAAGCCACTCGCACCCCACTAGGGCTTTTCTTAAGTCAGTTTTGGTCATTTATTATTTTCTCCTGTGATCTGAATATTCAAATTCATTGGAATAAAGTTTAAAAGAATTGTTTTTAATCAAGTTGGAAAAAATAAAAGAATTTAAAATCTCTGCATCCTGTTTTTACTTCCTAAGTATTGTATCTTTCTCTGTGTGTGTGTGGGGGGGGGGGAGGTTATACTTCCCAGAGGCTTTGTGTGTTCCGATCTTGTCACAACACAGAACTTCAGTCTATTGTTTTTCTGTTT